GGGCCGAGGACGAGAGCCCGGCGCGCTTCGTGGCCCGCCAGAACTTCTCGGCCGCCGACCTGCTCCGCCGCGTGGACTTCCGCATCGCCGGCGACGACCTGATCGTCTTCCTGCACATCCAGAAGACCGGCGGCACCACCTTCGGGCGGCACCTGGTGCGCAACATCCAGCTGGAGCAGCCGTGCGAGTGCAAGGCCGGCCAGAAGAAGTGCACCTGCCTGCGGCCGGGCAAGCGCGAGACGTGGCTCTTCTCCCGCTTCTCCACCGGCTGGAGCTGCGGCTTGCACGCCGACTGGACCGAGCTCACCAACTGCGTGCCGGCCGTGGTGGACAGCAAGAAGGAGGCCAGGCTGCGCCCCACCAGGTGAGCCCCAGCCCGGGGGTGGGTGGGTTGGAGGAGAGGGGGAGCCGGGAGGCATCCCCAGGATCGGGCCCCGCAGAAGCTGCAAACCCCGAGCACCACCCCCCCACTCCTGGAGGGGAAGCGAGCCGGGCTTGCTCCAGAGGAAGCCGGCCGCGATCCTCCGCGCACGGCCAAGGAACACAGGCAGGCGCTTCTTTCCCTCTCCCTTCCCTTCTGTTGCGTTCTAAAAGCTGCTCCTTCGGGGCCAGGGCTGCCAGAGCGGAAGGCTACTCTCGAGGAGGGGCGGTGGATCTCCCGGACTGTTGGGTAGAAAGACGCGGTGTGTTTTGTATGTATGTGTAAAGGACCCGGCTGCTTGCGAACCAGCAGACACACGCCTCAGCGAGCAGCCTGGCTTATTAGCCCGGGATCGGGGCCCCCTGTTGTCGGCTTACGGGCCCGATCCCCAGCCCCGCCGATCTGTTGGGGAGAACGGGGTTTGCTCTCCTCCCAACCGGCTCCTCTCCTCTCGGGGTGAACAGGCTGGGTGTTTAGATTGAAGGTCTTCTTCCTTTGAAAGAGACACGTGTGCAATCTTGCTCTCCTGCTGCGGGCTTAAAACTCGCTCATTAACACCTAGAAGCGCCTTCTCGTCAAACCCTCGAGGGAGGGGGCACCTTTGTTTCCATGTTTTTGAAAGGGTCTCGGTCTTACTCCATAGCAGCCTTAACCCCAGGTTTGCCAGTTTTGACTGGTCAATTCAAGAGACCCTTCGTTACATCCTATATATTTTTGCCCCCTGCCCAAATTTTGATTCCCCCCCTCCGCCTGCAACGCCTGCTCAAGCCCCTTTAAAGGAATTTATTCACGTGGTGCTTATCTCGTTTGCCTTGTGTAACTGGAGAAGGCTTTGATGAGTCTTTTCCTTTGTTTGGAGTTCAGAAACTAATTAACACCAGTCTAGATGGGGAACAGCGTCGGAGGTCTGTTGCTTTGTGTGTGTGTGGGGGGGGGCAAGGAGACTTTGCTTGTTGGTGTCTCTAGTTTCCTTCTTAAACACAAACCTCCTTGGCTGGTGGAGACCTAAAAACAATAGCTCCTAGTTGAGTAGCAGGATCTGACCCCTTTTTTTGGGGCCTGCTGAATCTGGACAGGCACAATAAAACAAAACAAATTACAACCAGATGCCAGTCCTTTGTCTTTGGGATATTTTTTTTTGAAAACCTGAACCAACAACATTTTCCTCTGATATTTCCTCCCAGGTCTCTGAGCTGATGATGATTTCCCCTGCACAGCACCCAAGAGTAACCCACTTGGGATCTTAGGGTGGTGATGCATTTTGTGTCCAGCAACTGTACACCTAGGATGTGTGTGCCTCTTTGTGCGTGGTGTTGTCCAGCTTCAAGGGGTTGCAGGTTGTGTGTTGGGGGCGGTGGAATTCCGGGGGAACCCCGGCTTCAGGATGAAAGGGGTCCTGATAATTTCTGCCGGCGCCTCCTTCCATTTCCTTCCTGTGTTGATGGAAGAAAACAGAGTTGGTTGGGCTTCCGCGTTCCGTTCTGCCGTTCTCAGCGGTGTATTTCTTTGGGACTTGAGGACGGTCTTTTCCAGGACGGGAAAACGCCATGACCTGGTGTTTGATGGAGGATCAAGGAAAGAAGCAGGAGATCCTCTGGTCTTGTTTATTTTTAATTTGAAAGCTGACATGTTCTTGTTTTTTCCCCCCTTGAGATGACGCCTCTTTCCTCCTGGAGGGTGTTTATTTGTCCACCGGCTTTAGTTTCACTTGAATCCCATCATTTCTCCCTTTTACTTACGCTGTCTAGAAGCCACCAACTAGGAGCATCCTTGAGGGTTGCTGCTTATGCATCTAGACCTTTCTGGCTTCATGATGGTAGTTGCAGCTCCCTCTGTGCATGCACATGTGTGTGTGTGTGTGTTTTCTGCAGAAGCAAAGCAACTGCTTAACATACAGAAGGATTCTTCATCCCCCGCTCTTATTGTCAACTGAGTCCTTTCCGGAGATGAACGAGGCACATTTTCCTGAGGGTTCCCTCCCAATAATTTCCTTTCTAATTAGTTTGTGTTTTCTGTAAGGCCCTTTGTATTGGTGGGGGTGTGTGTGTGCTCTTGGGTCCCTGAGACATGATACAAAAACTCTTCTGCAGGTTGTTTTTTTTTCAAGTTGGAAGCCTGTTTTTGGCTGCAGCGAGGTCGTGCACCAGGCGGCTTCTTTCCCACCCGTCCCCCCTTTCCCCAGTGTGTATTCGGAATTGATCCGATGCATCCAATGCATTTGTATTGCAAAAACAATGCACAACTGTGTATTCGGAATTGATCCGATGCATCAAATGCATTTGTATTGCAAAAGCAACGCACAACCGCCAGCTGTCGGCCGTGGGCCTCCAAAATGGAGAAAGGCTGATCTGGGTCGCCTTGTTTGGGTTCAAAGGGCAGCTCTCTTTGCGATGGGCGTGAGGAGGGAAGGAAGGCCACGTGAAGAGCAGAGCGAGGACTCATCCAGAACGGAACAAAGAGGCTGTGCGCAAGGCCGGTCTGCTCATCTTCAGCGGGGACCTTCAAACAAAGCCTGCCGTTTGCCCAGTCATCCGTCATGGGGGGGGTTGCGCCACGTAGAGGCGGGTTGCCCTTTCTGAGTAAATTGCCTGGTGGCTCTTCTTGTATCCTTTCTATCCAGTGCAAACAGGACCTGATCCGTTTATAAACCCCTTTTCTTTTCTTGGCTTTGCTTTATATCCTGGTGGCGGTGGTGGTTTAGGTAACAGACCTTTCCCTATCTCTTTTAAGCCTGTTACAGAACACAACGGTGGCACTTGAAGACCATCAAGACACATTTCTGGACTGTGTTCAGTTTTCTTTTTAAAAGTACTTACTTGGGAAACCATTTAATATTTTGTAGCAATGAATTGTTTTCTAGATTTGGCCGTTCGTGATCAGGGGAATGGCTCAACCAGGCAAATTGTTCTCACTCCAGACAGTGACTCTGGTCCCTTGCAAAGGAAGATTGTACCCCTGTCAAGTCCATTTGCATTTCTCTGTGTATGTGAGAGAGACGTGGCATGTATACGATGGCTCTAACACAGGTTGAAGCTGGTTCTAAGTAGCAAGCGTGTTGGGGCAGCATGGATGAGGCTGTTCTGTGTCTGAAGCCGTCACAGTGTCTCTGCTTAATATTTATTCTCTCCTACGCTATCTAAACCATCAAGTCTGAGCACAGATTTATGGGGAGTAAAGGGAGGGTGCCTTTCTAAAATTCATTTTTTTCTTAGGTTGACACCCGCACTGCCCTCTGTGGGAAGGGACTTAGAATTCATGCTCTTCCTGAAGGAGATCTCAGACGCTCTGGGCCCAGAATTTCTCTCTCTGCCTTTCCTTGGCATCCGGCTTTCTGCTGCAAATGCTTTGAAAGAGGATAGCCGCGGCTGCTGATTTCAGGGTGTCTGTTGTTTGGCTTCTCCATCGTCCCTGGCACAGTTTAAAAGACAAAACTGGAGCATGCTACCTTGAGCTCCGGTTTTGGGGTAGTGGTTTCTAACCTCCCTTCTCCAAATTTGGTTTCTTTGCTTTGAGATGAGAGAGAGAGAGAGAGAGAGGCCAGATGGATGAGGTTCTAATTAAAGTATACCACACTACCCTGCCTCTTTCGGTAGATCTTTGTATTGATGAGAGCCTGCAAGGTAGGGCGTTCGCAATTTATATTTTGGGGCTAGGAGGGAACATTGGAGACAATTCTCAGCTGTCTTGTTTCTAAGCTGGGAAGGCACCATTTCACGCTCATCTATACAAGCATTTCCTAAAAGAGGCTTAAGCTCTTCCCTCCTTCCGGCTTTCCAGAGTTATGGGAGTATAGCCTAGGAATAACTGGAGGATTTCTCATCCTGGTTTATAGCTGTCTTGTCAGTAGGCAGTAGATGTTCATTCTCTCTCTCTCTCTCTCTCTCTCCACACACACACCTTTGGGAGGTGGCGGCCGGGGGGGTGCTTTCCTGAGGGTCCCATTAGGCTAACTGGAGGCTCCATCGTTCACACTGGCTTGCAGAATAGTGCCAGGACTGGCTCTCTGGGTAGCACAATCAGAAAATCAATGACCCCACCTCTGCCTGAGAGGGTGGAGAGCCCTTGGACCCAGTCTGCGGAGTCCCCTCTTGCTAAGCTGGCCGGTCAAAGAGTTTGACTTCCAAGGCTGCAGCCACCCCACCCAGATGGAAGGGTGGGAGGTTCGGGGCCATGGGGCCAGAAGGACTTCTTTTCAGTTAAGCTAGAGTTCCCTGCTGTGGGGAGTCATGTTGGAAGGCTTGAAAAGAGGGGTTGCAAACTTTCGTGGATGACAGGACCTGCCATGGCTAAGTCGGAAGGACTTGATTGTAGTTTTAGAGCCAGAGGACCTCTGGGTACCCATTGAGGGAGAATGGGAGGAACAGCTTGTCTCTTTAGTGAACCGTGCCAGGCTGAAGAAGACCTTGCTCTGATCCCAGAGTGACCTTCTTACGTCCTTTTGTTGAATCCCAAACCTCTAGATCAGTGACTTCCCTTTTTTGGGTCCCCAGATGTTTTTGGACCAAACCTCCCGGAAGCCTTCATGGCTGGCTAGCTGCGCTGGCCGGGATTTCTGGGAGTTGTAGCCAACATGGCTGTCAGGATGGGCAGTTGGGCTACAGGAGCACATTGACCATATTCTGCGGATTTTCTTTAGCATCAATGTCCTGTGGCCTCGGATACTCAGGTCAAGAAGAGGCCAGTCCCGGGGACTGCTGGGCAGAAGTCTGGGAGGGAGTTTCTGCCTCTTAAATCTCTCTTCCAAAAAGGAAAAGACAGGCTTGGTTGTCTACACACCCTTCTTTTTGTGTAATGAAACAATTGCTCAGCCTGCCTAATAGCTATGGTGACACTTTCCCCCTGTAAACACTGTCTTCTTGACGAGCAATTATGGGGATTGTCATTTGTGTGCAGGCTAAGAAAGGAAACATAGGTGTGTGGAGCACCCTTTTTTATTTTCTCCT